GTGACTTGTATTTTATTTTATTTTATTTTTAATTTCGCTGGTCACTGGGCAGCAAGGCAAGTTCTGTGTGGTTTTAGGCACCCTGCCCATTGCGTGGGACTTCAGAAGTAACCGAGATGCGTTGTATTAGAGATTTTCGGGGCAGGGGTAGGGTAACGGTTGGACTTGATGATCTTAAAGGTCTTTTCCAACCTAAACGATTCTATGATTCTATGCTTTTTGGCAGTGAATGTATAGCCATTTTGTCCAGTTTTTCATATGGGGCAATTCATGAAGCTTCTCGTACTTGTGAATACATACAGAACTCTCAGACAGTTTGTACAGAGTTTTTTGATCCAGTGAACGTGGGAAGAGGTAGCGTGCAAAATGTATGTTTACATTTGGAAATCCAATATTTCCTTTTTTGTATTTTTTTTTCTTCCTTTTTCCCTATTTGCCTTATTTCAGTACCTTTAAAAGTATCTTTGCAAATAGTATTCAGATACATTTTAAAATGTTTTAATATTAAATATTATTTTAGCTATACGTGTGGTACCAATGGAGTATAGTATGTGGACTTGCTCTGAAAATGCTGCTGATGAAGACCTGCTTGCAAATTTACAGTCATTACAGAATCAGCTGAGGAGAACTGAAAAAAACCTGCAAACTGTAGAGGAAGAGCTTTCCAGGTATGAGTGTGTTTGGGAATGAGAGCAGCCGGTCTCTTGTAGTGTAAATCTGTCATATTTGGTGTAATGGATTGCTGCAAGTACCTCCTTTTGTGTTTTTCTTTTCATTCCTCTTTATGCGCAGTTTAAAAATAATAAAGAAAAAATGGTGTAGCAACTTTTTACTCTCCCTCCTAGTGCTAGCAGAAGAGAACATTGTGGCCACTGCTTAGATGAGGCTGTAGACTTCACTCTGGAGGACCTTGTTCAGCCTAATTGCAACTATCAAGGCTTTCCCGACTGCAAGAAGAAAGCTGGTAAAACATCTTGCCAGGATTTTCAAAGAAAATCTAAAGTAAATATTGTACTTTGTTACTTGTTACTGTTGTTTTCTCTTCTTTGCTATGAATATTTTTTTGCTTTTAGGGCTTGGAGTTGATACGCTCTAGCATTGGGCAATTATTTTAACGGAGCACTCTCAAACAACTGAAATACATTTGTTCTGCAGAGTATATATTGCTTACATCTGCATATATGTGGTGTGTATATATATATAAAAACCTTTTTTTATGTCTAGTCTTATTTGGTATCCACAACTTCTGATAAAACTGTGGAAGAAAATGAACGTCTTCAGGAGAAGCTGGATGCCCTTCATGAGCAAAATGCATCTTTGGCTTCTCAGAACCACTACCTAAAGAACAGAGTGGAAACGATGAACTTTGAATTGATGCAGTCAAAAACAAGAGTATGTATCTTTAGTGTATTCATCAAAAAAAAAACCCCCACGCCCAAAAACCTCCCCAGTGACCATGACTTTTGAGCCTGTAATTCCAAGCAGAAAATGCTATTTTTTTTCTCCTCTTAATCAGTCTAAATTTAGTATTTAAAGTTTAATATTCTATTTTTTCATAATATTCTGCATTAATCTTGGAACAGAATAGTTTGGAATCTACAACTCCATGAGGAAAACAAATATATTAATTATGAATTCTATCTATTCATGCTCCAAAGTTTAATCTCAAGCCAGTAAGTCACAGAATGAAGAACGCGTTATGTAAGAAAATAGTTCAATAATCTATTTAGTACTGTATGTTCATGTGTCTGAGCTACCTGAAGATTAATGTAAGTAATAACAGCGCAGCAGTCATTTGTCTAGAATATGAAAAACGACCTTTCAGGTTGGATTAATACTGCTATTTTGAAAAAGTGAAGGTGAGGTAGAAGGAAATATTGTACCTACTAAATCATTACTGGTTTATTATACACTCGTATATACAATTTTTTTCAGGACAACCATATTCTTGCATTTGGTTTATATGTGACATTAATAAAATGTAGCTATGCTTAAGGCTTTTTGTGAGAGAAATGTTATCTCCAAGACAGTACAAATAACTAGACAAAAAAAAAAAAACCGTTTGACACTGACATGGAAAAAACAAGTAGCAGAATATAAACTTCTGGGGAAAAGCAAGAGACAAGATCAACGTATAAGGAAATTGCTCCGCTAGACAGCGTATGACACAGGAATGGTGCTAGGGAACTGGAAGAATATTAAATAAGCACAAAATTGGAGGTCAGTTTGTGTAGATGACCTTCTACAGTAAGGTTAAGTGCACTGTGTCATTCAGTAAGCAGATTGTTCTTACCCGTCTCACTTGAAAGTATATATGCAAGTGTTAATGAAACCCCGAATATGTTTGTATTTCAGATTTCTTACCTTGAATCGACTTTAGCCAACATTCCAAAGTTAAAAGAACAG